AAGATATTCATTACATTTATCATAAAGTCATGGGGTTTTTGCTCTATTCTGTTTCTTTCAGTGTTAACTCTTGTTTGATGATTTTGATGTCTTTTTCATGTCATTGGTTGTACACAATGATGATTTTTGGTTGTCTCTCTTCAGCTTTGTATTTGAGAATACCCGTGCACCAGCTGTTCCGTGTTCCGTGACCTACCTCCAGAGATCTTGGGGAAGGAGTAAAGCCATACGAGAGTAAGGAGTTTTGCCAGTCATTTGTCTTCTGGGAGTTGATGCTCCCCATGGCTCCTGGAATTTATTAGCCAAAGGGGGGACATTTCTCTGCCTGTCCATGCCATTTCCCACACTGCTTTAGCATATGAACAAAGCTACTGCAAACTTATTATAGGTGGACATGAAAGAACTACCAGCTTAGCTACTCAATCATTCTGATAAATGCCCCAGACCCACCTGTCATTTCTTGTACCTGTGTTTGGAGCTCTCCTGAACTTTATACACTTTACCCAGACTCACTGACTGTTAATATTTTGCCCCACTTTTTAAATTATTTTATCTGTATATCTAATATATATTATTTTTCTAAAATTTTTGAGAGTAAAATGCAGACATCATGCCCCCTTGCCCCTAAATATTTCAGCATATATTTCCTAAGAACAAGGACATTCTCTTATATAACTACAGTATAATTATTGAAATTAGGAAATTTAACATTGACAAAAAATACTGTTATCTAATCCATAGTCAATATTCAGATTTCATCAAATGTCTTAATAATCTATTTTATAACAATAATTTTTCCCAGTCCAGGACTTAATCCAGAACCACATACTGCATTGAGTTACCATATCTCTTTACCTACCTTTTTTTTTTTTTCCTTTTTGTCTTTTTTCTTGACCGGCAATGGATCGCAACCCTCAGTGTCGCGCCCGTACCAGACCGGGACCGGCTACGGGATTGCAACCCTCGGTGTCGCTCCCGCACCTCGCTCAGCCAGTGAGCGGCCGGTCTGTATGTGGGATCCGAACCCTCGGCGGGAGCGCCACTGCACTCCCAAGCGGCGCACTGTAGCAGTGCGCCACTGGGCCAGCCCGTCTTTACCTACCTTTAATCTGATACAGTTCCTCAGTTTTTCTTGTCTTTCATGACTTTACTATTTTTGAAGAGTACAGATTAATCATTTTATAGAATATCCCTCAGTGTGGGTTGTCTGATGTTTTCTTTATATTAAAATTCAGGTTATGCATTTTTGAAAAGATTATCGCAGAAGTGACATTGTGTTCTTCTCAGTGCATCATATCTGGAGGCATGTGCTTCTTGTCCCTGTATAGGTGATGTTAGCTTTGATCATCTAATTGAGGTGGTATTCTCCAAGTTTATCATTGTAAAGTTACTATTTTTCCCCTTTGTAATTAATAAGTGAATTTTAGGTAGATACTTTGAGACTATGTAAATATCCTATTTCTCATCAATCTTTCACCCATTAGTTTCTGATCATGTCACTCCATTGATTCAAATAATCCAATGATTTCCCAGTGTATTTTCACACCTCCTTTTAGATTTCCAAGATCTACTCAATATCTGGTGGTCTTTCTCAACTCTTCCCTCTTTCTTACTCTCCATATTATCAACACGGTCCATCATATTTATTATTTCTCACTCTTGTTTGTCCTGGTGCCTTGGAATCAGTTCAAGTCCTTAATCTTTCTGGTGTTGTCTATTCAAATATCTTTCTATCTGCTCTTCCTGGTTTAAACCCCATTTGTTTCTGCACTATCCTCTAAATTGCTAAGTGAAAAATCGTTCTAAACAAAATATCTGATATTAAAACTTTCATGTTTATATAAGAAAGTCCGAACAGTAGTTTTCAGAAATAAAGAACAGGAAATCTGGGGTAGGGGTGGGGATGAGCAGATGTTATTGAGGAAATCATACAAGAAAAACTTCCTGGAAATGAAGAATACAAGTTTTCAGATTGAGAGAGCCCAGCACAGGCTTGAAGAGAATTATGTAGAAACTGTTAGCAGCTTTAGCCCACTGTTGCTATGCAGAAATATGAGTTCCATTTTGCCAGATAGCCTGATTTTTTTTGTCTTTTTCGTGACCAGTAAGGGGATCGTAACCCTTGGCGTGGTGTCGCCCGCTCCACACTCAGCCAGTGAGCGCACCAGCCGTTCCTATATAGGATCCGAACCCGCGCACTCTCCCGAGTGCACCACGGGGTCGGCCCAATATCCTGATTTTTTTAAAAAAGAGGAATAAAAATCAAAATGTTAATGGAAACTTTTCTAATTTTTAAATGATAACTGAAACTAAGCACACGCTCACACACGCACACACACACGCCAGCATGAAAGTAGTAAAGTACAAGGCATTTGTAGGTTAGAACATAGTATGTATGAAGAGCACTTGAGGTGTGGAGTCTGGAAGAACAGAACGGACACAGTGTGGAAAGTCAGAGCCAGTGGAAGCATGAGGATGAGCTCCATTTGAAAGGAGAGGGAGGCATTGATGATCTGTGAGCAGAGGGCAATGTTATCAGTGAACTTAATGTTTAGAAAATTAATGACTATAGTATGGAGATGGATGGGCAGTGGGAAAGGGGATGGAAAGCAGGAAAACCTGCTAGGAGGCCACAGTGATAGGAAATAAGGGCACCAACCAAGGCCATGGTTATGAAACATTTTCAGGTTTGGGGATGCCTGGAAGTCACAGTGCTCTTCATTAAATAAAACAGAAAACAAAAGGAGGAGAGACAAAAAGAGAAATAAAAGTTCATATGTAATTCTACAATATGAACTATGATTTACTAAATAAAATTCCTATTTTATGCTATGAAACAATATATGAACACTATGATCGAGAGTATAGTGTTCATGAGAGCAGTACCAACTTCAGTATGGTTGGCTGTTTTGAAGTTTTTCTCTAACTGTTCATTTGTTATCTGGTAAAAGAGTTTTGTTTTTGTTTTTTTCCTGCCACCAGATGAATGATTGAGCAAGCCTCAAACATTTTTAATTTTTGACTTAGAAAAATTTATCCATTAACATGGTTTTTAAGAATGAATTAAAAGAAGCTATCATCAATCTATTTTAAGAGAGGATCCCAGGTCCAACACCCTGTTGGAATATCAAATTAATAGTAATACTTTGATATTATTAATGATAAATAAAATTATGTAATAATTAATAACAGTAATAAATAAGAACCAAAATAACCAGATGCCATTTATTAAACAGTCTGTGCTTTGCATGCATTTTAGGATCTAGGTATTATTATCTCCTTTTTAGAGATAAGGAAATTGTACTCAGAGAAATAAAATAAATTGCCTTAGTTGACAAAACTCTGAGGGCAGAGTTGGAATTCCATGCCAGGCTTGTGTGGGGCAAATGTCAGTTTTTATACTAGACTGCTTCCAGTTGTAGGGAATGTTTCCCATTTAATAGCACAACGACAATGGTTGATTCCCTTCCTAACCATACATTCTCATCAGGCAACCACTTTTATGTTAAGCATTTTGTTCTACCATATTCCTTATGCATTCAAGTGTTTTAAAAGAGGACATTAATGAAGAAGTAGACCATGCGAACCAACTTTTCCACCACCAACTATAAAGCACCATACAGACCCCTGGGATGTCTTACTCTAGTATTTTCATATAATTTCACCCAAAAGGTTAGATTTTTTTTTCTTTTAAATTCAACCGCTCATCCACCCACCCACTACATCTTTCTACTTCAACCCACGTCTAATTTCCACAAAGTAGTAGGAGACCACCATCTTTTTTTTTTTTTTTCTTCTTAATCTGTATTTCATCTGGATAATGCCTAATCATTTTTATTTATTTTTAATCGAAACATGATTGTACGTATGTGGGGTACAGCGTTGAATATTAATACTTGTGTGCAATATGTGATCCTCAAATCAGGATAATTACTGTATTTATCATTACACAATGTAATCATTTTTTGTGGTCCTTTACCAATTTCTCGCTACATCTGCCCGCCCCCCACCCCTGGCACCTGTCCACTTCTGGTAGGAGGCCACCATCTTTTAAGTGGAATGTTCCTCCCAGGCTGTTTGAGCTCTCAGGGGCAGCCGGAGTCCCAAAGTAGTCTGCAAGCATCCCTGGGAGAGTTCTCCATTTCATGCTCTTACAAGTTCTTCATTTATGTGCGTGTATGATGAGCTTTTCTCTTAGAATTGTGTTCAGGTCACTGTGAACTTTGGTCTAGAAGACACCTTAGAGAAAGTCAAATGGGCAGTTTACACATCCTACAGTAGAGTTTGCCTGTCTCCCCCAGGAGACTTCCCAGACCCAGAAAGGTGGCTTTCTTTTTGACACTGGTCCCAGCATCTCATCTGCCATCCAGCACAATCTAGGTACTCAACCAATGGATACACCAGCCCGAGCCGTTTTCTCCCAGATATGACGGTCCCCAGGCCCAAAGAAGTGAGACGCACCATTCGGTTCTACCAGGGCCTTGCTCGGTCCGGGGTTGTTCGCATTATGTGCTTTTCGAGCCACAATAGACTAACTAGGCTGGAATCAGGCTGTTCTACCTTCTGGGTGTGCCTCCACGGGCAAGGAACCTGATTCTTCATTTGCAAAATGAGATGACCAGGGGCCCACATTACAGAGTTGTGGCAAAGGGTTCATGACATCACACATGCTAAGTGCTCATCACAAGGCGCACCACGGGCAGAAGATAATACAATTTTGACGGCGAGGAAATGGCAGCATCCGCTGGAAACAAGGCGGGGAGGGGGACAGCGGAAGGGGTGGGTGAGGATTCCGTGTCGCGCTCCGCCGGGTGGCAGCTCTGCCCTGTTTCCCTCCAGCAGTCGGGGCCCTGAGTGGGTGGCTCGGCCGCGGACAGGCTTGCGCACCCAGAGGTTTGTGGACCTTCCCCGGACGCGCCCGCCGTGCGCTCCGCCCCGGAAACACTCCCGGAGCCGCTTGGCGCGCTTTTGAAGCAACTGTTTCTATTTCGTGTACGTTTCGCAGATCCCTGCCGCTCGGGGAGCTTTGTTCTTGCTGGCCAAGCCCGCCACCTCCCGGGCGCGGCGGGACCCCCGAGCCGCCGCCGCGATGAGGAGGACCCGCGAGGAGGTGGACGCGACGTTGCAGATCGCCAAGCTGAACCCGGCCGAGCTGCTGCCCGCCGTGCACTGCCTGGCCTTCGGCCCCGGGGCCAGCGGCGCCACCGCCGGCGACTTGTGCCTGCTGGAGCTGGAGCCCGCGCTGTGCCAGCAGCTGGAGGCCGGACACAGGTGAGCCCGAGACGCGCCGCGCCCCCAGCCTCTCGTGCCCGTGGATTTTCCCAGCGGGGAAGCTCAGGAGGAGGAAGCAGGGCCGGAGAGATACACTGATTAGGTCGGGGGCTCACAGCAAGCCGGGCCCTGACCACCAGCACGCTGCCTTCTCCCGGGGATGTCACGCCCCTGCTAGGCCGCCCAGTTAGCTGGCTGAGGTGATTGGAAGACTGGTCCAGCTACCTTGGAGGCATGAAACGTCAGCAGATAGAACTTCAGTGAGGTTTTGAGGACATTAACACTGAAACCAAAAGCACCTGCTCTGACCAGCTCAGCTAGATAGTGCCTTGGGAGATCTGGATAAGTCAGTAATCACGTCCGCCTGTCCTGGAAAACGTTATCATAATACCATTTTATTTAGAAACAGCCATAATGGCGTCGGAAAGCCATAAAATTACTTACGATACTTCTTATTACACTTGCCTAGATCCCTGCATGTAAGGTGTAACCTACTAACAATCCCAAATCTACATGTCACGTACAATCAATAGAAAGCCCGATGAAGTAACTAGCGGGACTCTCTCCCTCTTCCTTTCCCCCTCCCTTTCTCTTTGCCCCTCTGTCCCCCTCTCACCCCCTCCCTCTTTCCCTCTTTCTCTCCTTTGGCTCTCCCCACTTGTGATTATAAAATGTGAAGCTGTTCTGGCCCTCTTTGGAACACATTTTCAGGTCCATCTGATCTATAGTTGCATGGTTGCAATCGTTAAATTGGCTCGATGAATCCTTACTATATGTTTTTTGGCCTCAGTTTCTTTTTTAGGTTAACAACAGTGATGCCAGGTACTCCACAGAACACTTTGTCATTCTATCTTAAAATACAATGGTAATAGCTAATATTTATAGAGTTTTTCTTGCTTTCTACTTAATTATACTTTACTATTTATACTTTATTTTTTATTTTATTTTAATGTATTTTACTCAGACAATAGGTAGGACATGTAGGGAATAAGTTTAAGGGTGTATTACAGACTTGGTAATTGGGTGAGCCCCCCCCCCCCAATAAAAAACAGACTTGCTTGAGGTCACTCACTGGGGATCTGACCTAACTCTAGGTCAGCTACAAATTTGCTGCAAGACCTTGGATTAAAATACATATTCAAAGGTGCGGTAGTTCTTGAAGGCAATCTGGAGAAATCTAGAGAATGATTCTAGATTCCTTGTGCTGCCCCAACTCCTGCAAATTAGAAGTTAGGGGCTCCAGCTTCTTTTCTGCACCACTGTTCCTCCAATACCTGTATTTTATTAGGTAATTTTTTCTACTGTGGGTTCCTTTTAATTGAGCCCTTTAAGCTGTCTTTCAGTTTTCATACTTTACATGCCAAACGGTATTATAGTTAACCAGTCTTCAGATACTAACCACAAAGTATCTTCAAGGGAAATGAAGGAGAACTTCAGTCATCTGGTTCCATCACAGTTGAGTTGGTGAGGATTTGGGAAAAGACTTCAGGTATGATGACCTTCTTTTTGTCCAGTTGTAGTTAATCTAGCTGGCAAAAAAAAAAAAAAAAAAAAAAAAAAACCCAGGAGAACCTGGAAATGTGTCTTTAATTTTGGGGGGCTGGAGGATTGGTACAAATAAAATATTTCAAAGCCAGGAAGAGTGCAATGTAGAAATGAATGTTAAAGAGTAAGTACTTGGGTCTATTAGATGTTATTAGCATCAGGAATCTAAAAGACATTTTATTCTTTTTACTTAAATGAAGGCTTAGTTAAAAAAATTACAGTCTTCTATTTTATTATTTATTTAAAAGATGTGAGTTGTGCACAGGGGAGTTAAATTTTTTATAGGAAAACTGCTAGAACCAGCTTTCTTGTCATTTCCATTATCTTTGTGTTTAGTCTTTCCTCTTCTCCCTCTTCAGCTTCATCCTTCCTTCTTGCTTTTCCTCAGCTGAGAAAAACTCCCTTTGTCAGTCTTTCGTTTAGTCCAATTTGTAAACATATCTTTTTCATATTTTTCCTTCAGCATTTCAGCCCTCTTTTCTTGAGGTCCCAGTTTCTTTGCAGTATAGCTGATGGTTAGGCCAGGATGTGCTCCTTTGACTGTTGGGATACTCAGAAAAAAACAAGAGGGATGACTCTTAGATGGGTACAGGAGCAGCAGCATGGTTATCTTCTGGGAGCTTGCTGGAAATGCAGAATCTTAGGTCCCATCCCAGACCTACTGAATCCCAATCTGCTTTTTAACAAGATTCCTTAAGATGCCTATGCATAAGTTTGAGAAATAACCACTTTAGCATGTTTTAGAACATTGCAACATCTTGAAGCTTCTAGATGCTTTTTCTTGTGCTCTTCCTAAGCAGTGTGCACAAAGATGCCACATGATGACATTTGGCCTCTTCGTCTTTCTGAATTTGTCTTGCCTGTGTTTAGTTGCTCTGTAGAACCCATCATTGTTCCACAGGGGCCAGATACAGCATCAAGAATTAATTATAAATTACAATTCCCTGAACTTGTTAAGACAAGTGAACAGATATGATGTTCATGGGGGGGGGAGTAGAGAGAGGGAGGGGGGAAAGAGGAATTGGTAAAAGGATATGAAAATCAACTACATTGTATATTGATAAATTAAAATAATAATAAAATGATTAATTGTAAATTCTACAAGCCTGGAGGATTTTGGAACTGTTTATAATGATGATGTCTGCTGGAGTCTCAATAAACCATTTATTTTTTCCCGCATTTTTCTTCAGTCTTGTGATTCGTGGTGATAAAGATGAGCAAGCTGTGCTGTGCAGTAAAAACAAAACATATGACTTGAAAATAGCAGACACTTCAAATATGTTGCTTTTCATTCCTGGTTGTAAAACTCCGAACCAGCTGAAGAAGGAAGAAACACATAGTAACTTTATTTACACTGAGGTATTGTTTTCTGTCCCCTCACTTATGTAAATCTGAGAATGACAATGCATGTGTTGATCGTGCCTTTAGTTAAAAACTTTAGGTGTAAAATGTACAATTATGGGGAATCTAAGAAGCTTCTTAATGGAATTTGAAATTTCTCAGCGTTAGTATTATTATTTTTGTTTGTTTTGTTCTTGTGAACTTGTCTTTATTTTTCTAGTTTGATTTTGAAGTCCCAGACAAGTTGATTTTTTTTCTATAACGTGGAAAGTTTGCTATTTGGTGACTCATTCGAAAAATTTTAGTAAATTTTGCTATGGATGTGTTTTGGAAGGAGACTCCTTTAAACTATAACTATTGCATTTGGTAATACTTGAGGTAGAGAAATGAAGAAATTTGAGTTTTTTTTTTTTCCTTTTTGTCTTTTTTCGTGACCGGCAACGGGATCGCAACCCTCAGTGTTGCGCTCGCACCTCGCTCAGCCAGTGAGCGGCCAGTCTGTACGTGGGATCCGAACCCTCGGAGGGAGCGCCGCCGTGCTCCCAAGCGGCGCACTGTAGCAGTGCGCCACTGGGCCGGCCCAGAAATTTGAGTTTTTGAAGGAAGTGTATTTCTTAGCTTTGAACTGGGTTTAGTTCATTAATATCTGTAGCCAAGTATAACAAATTTTAATTATTTTGGAGAATACCAATAGCGGTTACCAAATAAAAGTCTCCATCATATCTAGGTCGTTACACACATAACAATCAAAGCACAGCCCTTAATTTTTTCAGAATGACTACAGACCAACTATTCCCTTAAAAATAGAATTGGAGAGGAAAGAAGGGAAAATTCTGGGAAGTTTAAATAATTCATATGATGTTACCAGAGCATAAGAACTCATATTTACTTTACATAAGTAAATATTGTATTTTGGTTTTTGTAGGGTTATAAGTCTTTCATTGTAATTAACTAGAAAAGTGGCAGTTCATCTTTTTGTAAAAGATATATACACACATATGTATATTTTATGACTTAACCTGTTTTGTAGGTGTTTTTATGAGGGCATAATAATATCTATGAGTAACTTTGAGCTCTTGCGTGTTATGGGAATTCTGTTTGCTGAGACTGGGTAAAACATAGCAAAGACCTACTAACTGAAGTCTTGGTCGGTGTTTATACATTAGATGCCTAAAAGGGTGAGATAAGGAATGCATGTGAGCAAAGCAGGATGGGGTTGATAAATGGTAGTGGATGCTCAAGAGTAATAGGCAGTGGTTGGATCTAGGGCAAACTGGAGAGCACAAGCCCAAAGTAGGTGGGTGGCTACTACTCAGTAGCCTTGTGGGAAAGCAGACGCAGCACTGCCAGATCCTCCAATTTCTTTTTTCCAAGTAAACCTTGAAATATAGATTTGTGGGGCAAAATCTCCTAATTTTTCAGTATTGGCAACTAATTTAAACACTATGCCAAAATTTCCTCCTCTACCTGCCTACCCCAACACACAAAAGCATATGCCACTATGTATGCATTAGATACAGTAGCCAGAGGGCTGACTCTGTGAACTATGGGTAAAATCAATCTTTTTGATTCAGTCCCTAAGCTCCTTGAAGGCCTTAGATTCAGTAACATCTCCTTCAGCCTCTGGGCCTCATCTTGTGAATCAAACCTTATCCTAGTTCAAGAGGAGAAACAGCCCCCATCGTTCCATTTTAGAGTTGGAAGGCACCCCAGAGAAAACCCATTTCAGCCTTTTTTCCTCTTTCATGAACACTTATTGGCACCTACTGAGTGCTAGGCACTGGCCAAGTCATGGAGATACAGAGAAATAACAGACATTTCCATCCTCTAGCCTTTATCAACTGGATTTCTTCGAGTGATAGGCCTTCTGCTGTTTCACATGTCCAACAGTGAAATTAAGTGTAATTCTAAATAGTAGAAAGTTCTTGCATTGCACAGAAGTCTCTCTCCCTTAACTTTTGCTTATTTTTGACGTTATGAGCAACACAGAACAAGGGTGCCCCTTTTCCCTTTAACACCCCTTCATTATTTGAAGACTGATAAAGTCTCTTCTTTATTTTCTGTTTTCAGCCTAAGTATATTCATTTTCAGTTGTTTCTGCCTGTTTGCAGAATTGTCACCATCCTGGTCATTCTTTTCTGGGCATAGTCTAGTTTCCAAAGTATGCTTGAGACATGAACCTCAGTTGTTGGTTCTCATTATGTTGGCAGTGTCTTCTTAATATGGGTTTGGAAAGATGTTTCCTGAAGATGACCATCCATTCTTGTGTGAGAAGGCTGGATGGTACCTACCTTCCCAACAGAAAGCAGAATACCTTGACTCCCTTTACGTGGTTCTTGCTGAGGGCAGATGGGTTAGTTGGAATTTTGTATGAAATTTTCTTTTAGAATGGTTCCTAAAAGGTTATGATATATTATAATTTCCAGATCTTTGGTTTTTCTAATAACTATTGGGAATTAAGAAGATGTAAACCTAAATTAAAGAAACTAAAGAAACTTTTGATGGAAAATACCTATGAAGGACCTGATAGTCAAAAAGAAAAGGATTCAAACCGCTCAAAAGTAAGACTTATTTTCACTTTTTTATTTGGAATTAAAAAAAAAACTATAATTAGAGGCACTTAGTAGTGACATTCTTACTTTTCAAAGTTTATGTTATGAAAAGTTTAAATATATCCAAAAGCAGAAGTAGTATAATGATCCCACATATTCATCATTCACTTGAACTACTAATATTTTGTCAGTCTTGTTTCTTTTATCCCCCTGCCTCCTTCCACCTTTTTTTCTTTTTCTAGAGTATTTGAAGCAAATCCTATATAAAACAATCCTATATATCATGGTACTATTTATATAGCTGAAAACTTCTCATGTTTCTGTCTTGGAAATGATAATGTTTTAGATGTGAAATTAATTTTTATTTGATATAAAACATAATTAGGTGCTCTTGAGAGAAGACATCATGAAAATGGAAAATATACTTACTCCAATGTCAAAATGAACTAATTCTTGGAAGTATGGAAAAATATTTATATGACAAGTAAAAAAATTTTTTTACTTTTTAATGTAATTCAAAATTATAGAACTATGCTGGTATACTCAAGACCATATTTAGAAATTCTTTTCCTCCACTGATTTCTTTCTTTTGAAAAATTTTTTTGTTAACAGCTTTATTGAGATATAATTCACATACCAAACAGTTCAGTCATTTTAAATGTAAAATTCAGTGGTCTGTGGCACATTCACAGTGTTGTGCAACATCACCATGATCAAGTTTAGGACATTTCCATTACCCCCAAAAGAAACCCTGTAACCTTTACCTGTCACCTTCCAATCCAACCTTCTCCCTGCTCTCCCCCTCAGCTCTAGGCAACCACCGATCAACTTTCTGTCTCTATAGATTTGCATATTCTGGACATTTCATTTAAGCGGAATCATATAATATGTGGCTTTAACTTAGCATAATCTTTTCAAGATTCTTCTGTGATATAGAGCATGTATCAATATTTTCTTTCTTTTTATTGCTGAATAATATCTCATTTTATGGATATACCATATTTTATGTATTTGTTTATCTATCAGTTGATGAACATCTGGGTAGTTTCCACTTTTTGATTATGATGAATAATGCTGTTGTGACCATTCAGGTACACGTTTTTATGTGGACCTATGTTTTAATTTCTCTTGGGTATATATATATATATATATATATATGTATGCTAGGAGTGGAACTGGTGGGTCATGTGGTCGCTGTATAATCTTTCCAGAAACGGCCACACTGTTTCCCAGAGTGGCTGCACCATTTTCCATTCCCACCCACAGTGTTTGAGGGTTCCAATTTCTTTACATCCTCAACAACACTCATTATTTTCTGGGTTTTTTTGATGTTTATTCTAGTGGATTTGAAGTGGTATCTCATTGTGGTTTCGATGTGCATTTCCCTAATGACTAATGATGCTGAACAATTTTTTATGTGCTTACTGACTGTTTGTATATCTTTGGAGAAATGTTTGTTCATTTCCTTTGCCTGATTTATTAATTATTTGACTTTTTATTACTGACGTGTAGGACAGTTTTCGTATAGTCTAGATACTAGTCTCTTATCAGTTTTATGATATGCAAATATTTTCTCCCATTCTATGGGTTGTCTTTTTGCTTTCTTGATTTTTTTATTGTCGTAAAATATAAATAGCATAAAATCTACCATGTTAACCATTTTTAACTGTATAGTTCAGCAGCATTAAGTACATTCATATTGTTGTGCAACTATTAGGACCATCCATGTGAGAACTTTTTCATCTTCCCAAACTGAAACTCTGTACGCATCAAACAGTAACTCTCCATTACTACCTCTCCCTGGTCCGTGAATGTGACTACTCTAAGTACCACAAATAAGTGAAATAATATTATTCCTTTTGTGTTGACAGTGTTTTCAGTATAAAAGTTTATCATTTTGATGAAATCCAATTGATCTATTTTTACTTTTGTTGCTTGTGTTTTTGGTGTCACATATAAGAAACCATCGCCAAATCCAACGTCCTGAAGATTTACCTGTATGTTTTCTTTTAAGACATCCATTGATTTCATGTAGTAATCATTACACATTAACAAAAGAAATTGAGCTAGTGCATAAAAATTACTTTAATCTGTTCTATGTGTTATTTCCCAAAATTCAACAAGAAGTCTAAAAAAATATTATTCTTCGAAGGCCTTAAAATATATATATTTTTTTGTTTCAGTATACAACTGAAGATTTGCTTGACCAAATTCAGGCAAGTGAGGAAGAAATAATGACCCAGTTACAAGTTCTAAATGCCTGTGAGATTGAAGGTAGTGTTACTTAGTATTATTAATAATAATGATGGAATTAGACATCGTATGATGGAGAAGTCTTAGGACATATTTGCTGTTGCTTTGCCTCACACAGATTTGTCACCTTTCTTCCCCTGGGTGATGGAGCTGCAAAAAGGATTACTCAAAGCCCATTTCTTCTGAGCAGTGAGAGACCCCGAAGGGGTTAATTTCCTGGAACCCTCAAGAGAGAGGCATTCCTTCCTTTTGGAAATTAACAACAAATTGGGGGTCTCACCCTGCATTTATTCTCCAGACCAGGAAGTTACAGGAAGAGAACATAGGTGGGGTTATGGCCAATTATAGTTTAACAATAGAGGCTGGTAACGTTCAGTGAAACAAGCAAAGTGACATTCCATAATGCAATTTGAAAAAAGGTTAAGTCGATCCACCAACAAAAACTTGATCTTAGCAGACACTGTTTTTCCCTACAGCAATTTCCCAGTATCTTTACATATCAATCAGTAACTTGTCTGTCCTTGAGCCAGCAACCTTGCTGTGCCATAACTCTCTATCCACATCAGAGATGCTAGCCTGAAGAAAGTTTCCTGTTTTTTTTTTGCAAGGTTAACATTTCTATATATAATTTTAAGAAGTTAGGCTAAACCTGAAACTGCAGGGCTTTGGAGGCCCTGTGAAATACATTTGCTTTATAAATATTGGTATATTCCACAATTTGCCCTATATGTATACAGTTTATTTAATCTTCTTTTGGGCTCAAAGATGATGACATTTGTCTTTTTGGGTGTGGGACAGAGATTACGTGTGATCATCTTTATATGAGGTGGTCAGTCTGCGACCAGTGCCTTTAACTACTCCTTACAGGCTTACTCTTCGGATTAAGTAGCAGTCGAAGAACAATGTTCAATCTAGAAAGGCCCTTAGATATCAAGTAGTCTAATCATTTCATTTTTGGGGGTACATATTTATAGGGTACAGAATTATATTTTAATACATGTATACAATGTGTAATGATCAAATCAGTAGTTAGCAAATTCATCATCACAAAAATTTATTGTTTCTTAATAGGTGAAGAAAATAAGGCCTAGGAAGGGGAACTAACTTGTCCAGGGCTACATGTTGAGCTAGTGATGGGTCCTTAAACTCCAAATTCAGAATTAATTTAATAACCTCATATTTCCAAATTGCTTATAAGATGGGGCCACGTTTCTTCTTGTGATAACTCTTAATGTATTTTTGAACAGGTGTTAGTTTCTATAATAAGCCTATAGTTTATATAATGAGTCTGGGAGTATGTGTAGGTCCCAGGGGTTGATGAAGAAGCTCCACAGTGTCATCTTTAATGTTTTGACTGGTCTCTGCTCTGGAGTCAGAACTTTTTTTCAGCATCTGAGCCTGTGGTAATACTTGAGTAGATGTCTGCATACATCTTTCAGCCCACTTCAGCCTGCCCAGAGAAGCAACTTAGTCTGCATCCATGTGTTAGGAAGGAGAAAATCAGCATGGGTTGGTAAATGTACTATTCAATTTGCTCATATTCTTCCAGACAAGATTATTTTTTGTGAAACCTTAACTCTCAAATGTGGCAAATCCTGTTAAATTAAGCATCTGCACACAACTTTAGAACTAACTGGAAGCACGTAGCTTGTTGTTGTGGTTCCTTGAGATTGATTTGATCTAAAGTATCTAAAATAAAGTTTTGAATTTTGAAGGCCTGCTGTTAGTTATTATAGTATATGGGTGAATGTTAAAGTGTTTTTTTGTTTGTTTGTTTTTAAAGGCAAACTAAACAATGTATTTTAATATAGCCCTCTGCATTATTCACTTATTGCATGGAGATAGGTAAAATTTTGGTAGAGGGAAGCACAGATTACTTCTAGCTCTCTTCCTAAGTTTTATATCACACTATCCAGTTTTTAATGTTGCCTGTATTTTTTTCAAAATAAGAACAGAAACATTCTCCTTTAGAAATATGTACTTGATTTCTTTCTCTAGGGGCGGTAGTTGTGCCATTGTTTATAAAAATGGCATTTTCTGTTTTATGGGAAGAGGGAAAGGTATCTTTATGCCAAGCCTTTATTTTTTTCCCTTTATACACATTGTACCTTAAAGTCTATCATCTCTTGAATGAGCTGGACTTCTTATGAGTATGGGAACACCTCTGTAAGAGAGCTGTGATGAAAGTTATTACCATGACTGTTCAGCACAGCTGAGATTACCATGTAGGATATGACCTTCACCTCATTTGTATGATATTCTGATGGAAGGACTGTACCAGCTGCAGATTTCCTCATTTCCACTTAGAACAACAAGATTATTGTGAATAATTGAATATTAAAGCACTTGAAAAAAACCCAAAGTGTAAGTCATAAAAAGTACTCTTTAAAAAACACTTAAGCTTCCTCAAGACACAATTTAGAATGAGTGGGAGAAAAGTATAAAAAGAAGCATCATTTAAAGAAAGTGAAGACTTTTAGTGTCTGCTTTTTTTCAGTGGGCAAAAGTATGCTAGTATTTAGCCAATTAATTTGCTTAAAATATTCTTTGGTAAATACAGCTTTTGGAATTTGCAGGTTATTGGAGGATTCTTGAATTTGATTATGAGATGAAACTTCTGAATCATATAACTGAGCTTGTGGATTCTGAATCTTGGTCATTTAGTAAAGTTCCTTTGAATATATGCCTTCAGGAACTTGGACCACTGGAGCCAGAGTAAGTATTTTAATTTCTTGTCCCTTCAGATTTCCTTAAAGGGAAGAAAATTATTTTCCAAACTTGAACTAAACCCAGGGCATATATTATTTATATTTTGATATCTTAGAGAAAATTTTAAAATATATAACCAGAAGAGATTTGGGAATTTTGGTCACTGGGGTGAATAAATGTGCATCTTTTTTTGGCCATAAAAAATATGAAGAAATAATTGTTATGCTTGAGCTATTTTATAATAATAATATGCTCATATAATTCATGTAAAAATATTTAGCATGAGGCTTGGCACATAGTAGTTGCCCAATATATTTTAGTTAGTTCCTAATTTAAATAAAGTATTATGTGCCAGCCAAAATTACTTAGTATTCAAATCTTAAATTTATATGTTAGCTTTCAGTTAGCAATGGGTTTTAAAACATAGTACATAAAAATGTTGATAATTTTTCAAATGGGTGTTTTTAAATTTTTCAGGGAAATGATAGAACACTGTCTTAAATGTTATGGAAAGAAATATATAGATGAAGGTAAGATTTGTAAAGTGTTTTAATGATATTTTAACTCTTGTATGTTAAAATTGGGGACTGGCTGGTTAGCTCAGTTGGTTAAGAGTATGGTGCTGGTAACACCAGGGTCCAGGGTTTGATCTATTTACTGGCCAGCTGCACACACACACAAAATAAATAAAATTGGTATACCTTTCTGAACTGTACTGGTGTTAAAAATGAGAACTCCATGGCATTGTGGGAGGAGAGTTGAGGTATATAATTGCTTCTAAGAAACTGTATTGAGGAAAAGGAAACATTAGTACTGTAATTAATTGTTAAGAGGATAATATGAAACTGTCTGATCCCTTTTCCTTAGGTGAAGTTTATTTTGAATTGAATGCTGATAAAATATGCAGAGCAACAGCACAAATGCTACTTCAGAATGCAGTGAAATTCAATCTCGCTGAGTTTCAAGAAGTGTGGCAACAGAGTGTTCCTGAAGGAATGATAACTAGGCTCGATCAGCTTAAGGTAATAGCAGTAGGGGTTGTTACCATAATTCATCAGGTTATCATTAATTACTAGATGAAATGATACCTGTATTGGCACTTAATCTGGGAGCCAACTTATTTTCCTAGACACATATTTAGGAGTACAATGTACATTTAGCCCTTCACAAAGTCCTATTAAAAAACCTAATACCTTATTAAGGTACAATTTACATACATAAAACTCACCTTTTTAAGTGACTTTAGTAAATTACTAAGTTTCACAGCCATCACCACAATCCAGTTTTAGAACACTTCTATCACGTCAATGCGTTCCCTTAGGCTCCTTTCCAGTTAATCCCTGTTTCTACCCAGTGAGTCTCATTTTGTTCCATTTCTCTTTCTATCACCACCATCCTAGTCCAAACTACCATAATCACCTGCTTCTGCAATATCAAGAGCACCCCTAAGCAGGCCCCTGCACTTTCAATTTTGCCTGTCTCCAGTCCATTTCTGTGGTGCCACTAGAATGCTCTTTTAAAAATGCCAGTCAGATTAGATGAATGTCCTGCATATATCATTTTAATGGTTGCCCACTGCACTTAAGATATATAATCCAGAATTTGTATCTTGCCTTACAAGGCCCTTCCTGAACACCCCCATAGCTTCATGTCTGGCTACTTTCTCCCTGCTCACTGCATACCAACCTTCTTTCAGGTTTTTAAGAGCATCAAGCTCTTTCCTGCCTTAGTACCTTCCTACAAGGCTTTTTGTTCTGGAATGATATTTTCCCTAATTTCATGTGGCTATCTCCTGCTCATCTTTGAGTCACTTCATTTAAAAAAGCCTTCTTTTATTCTCTGCTCTAAGAAAAGGCCTCCTGTTTTGCTCTTTCATAGCACTCTATACTTTTCCTTCATGACACTGACCACTTAGCTTTGGAAAAATGTTTAATTATGTGGTTCCCTACTGTCCACTTCGGTAGCATTTTGTTCATTGTTGCTTGCCATTATATAGCCTAATGCCTGGTGTGTGGTTTATGATCAGTAAATATTTGCTAAATGAATGGATTTACTCAATATTTATGGAGTTCCTTTGACTTCTAGACACTATGCTCAGTGCTGAGGAGAAAATGTCATACAGGGTCCCACTGGGTGCTCAGAACTAGCCTGGGGATTGTTAATGGGGGGCAGCACATTACATGTATTAATCTCTTCTTACAACACAGAGTGATCTATGCCATGGGAAAGGCATGTATAGGATGTTATGAGAGCAAAGAAAAGGGGCTTATCCATCAGACCAGTGAATCAGGAGAGATTTTCTAAAAGAATGGATGTTTTAGCTGCTGAGTCTGGAAGGATGAATATTGCTTTATAGGTGGCAAGAAGGGCAGAGACGGGAATCCAGGAGAGCATGTTCAAATGTGTGAGGGTATAAAAATTGGGGCACTGTTGGTATGGATGTATGACTAGAGTGAAGGGTGCTGGTGAGTTAGTTAGGGACACTATGGATTACGATAAGGAATTTCAACTCTCTCCAGAAAGCTCTTTGGTGCCATTCAGTGACATCAGTTAGAAGAGCTACCTCATCAGGTACTCATCAGTTTTGCCTTCTGTAAAGAATGGATGGACGGATGGAAGGTTGGCTAGATTATAAGAACTGTGCAGGCTCTCAACACTTAAATACTCCTAAGTAAAAGAGTACTGGCCAAAGAAATAGGTTGTGGGTAATGGATAGCAAAATCTTGATGCCTTAACAGCTGTAGGATTTAGTGTTTTCTTAGGTGCATGGTTTGGGTAATGAAATCTAGGATGATGCCTAAGTTTCCTTCTTTCCTAGGATATTAGAACTGGAGTAGGTCTGGGTGATAAACACAGTGAGTTCATGTATAGATTTGGATGTAGAGGTCTGGGGCTCAGAAACAAGATCTGAGCCAAAGATAAAAATATTACAGTCGTTAGCAAGTAAGTGGTGGTTCAGGCAACAGGTTTAGATGAGGTTACATGGGAGATGAGAGTGAAATAGGAGAGCAGTCAGGATTGAAGCCCAGAGGACTATACCATCAAGTTAGGAAAATAAAGAAATGATGATCTCTCAAAAAGAGAGATTTGAAGATGAAGGAATAATCAACATTAACAAAAAAAACAGAGGGCTGGTAAGATGAATCCAAGAAAAGGGCCTGCTGGATTTTGCAATGACAGGTCACTGGTGACTATAGAACCAGAGCTGTCTTGATAAACTGGTAGTGTAGAAGCCACATTGCAGAAGGGAAAAGAAGTCACAACTTAAAGGAGCTCTTTTTATGGAAAAGGCTATTGTGTATCTCTCAATAGTTTGTATAAGTTTTGTGTAGCTGACATTTTAAATACTTTGGGCTATGACTAGCCCAGCAATGACCACTGAGCAGTGGTAGGAAGTGCCCCCGGCTACTGAGCTGGGGCGGTGGTGGTGGGGGTGGCCCGAGGGCCTCAGCCACCCCCCACAACATCTGCAACCAGCCCAGCAACAACCACTGAACTGTTGCAGGAAGTGCCCTGGGCTCCCAAGCCAGGGCAGTGGGGGACTGTTGGCCTCAGCCCTGCTATCCCCCTCCCCCTGGACATCTGCAGCTAGCCCAGCAACAACCACTGAGCCACCACTGGAATCCCCCGGCCTCCCCTGCTGGAATGAGGGGGGTGCCAAAGGCCTTGACAAAGAGCCCCCTCCTTCCTACTCCTCTCACCTATTTCCTTCCCCCTTACCTTATCCCCCTCCCCCCAACTGCTTTGCAACAACATCTTAGAATGTAAAAAAATAATAATATTAATAAATAAATTTTAAAAAATACTTTGGGCTAAGCTAAACCTAAAGATAAAAAGGTGAGAGATCTATGTTTAAACATTAGATCATTACGTTAACTGCCCTTTTTCTTGTAATTTCTTGTAGGGTTTAGCACTGGTGGATAGACACTCGAGACCAGAAATCATATTTTTGCTGAAAGTAGATGATTTACCTGAGGATAATCAGGAACGTTTTAATAGTCTGTTCTCTCTAAGGGAGAAATGGACAGAAGAAGATATTGCTCCATATATTCAGTAAGTAATTTATTAAAAATGGATTTCGAGAGTTGTTCTTTTTATAAAGAGTGGCATAGGGTTTTAGACTTATTATTGGAACACAATTTTCTTGAGTAGTCCCTCAGGATTCTGCTTCTCTGTTCTCCATGATTGCTGATCTTGGAGGTGGAATATGTGTTATCTTTATTCCTTACTACTGCTTCCAAAGCACTTTTCTGTTCTCTTCCCTGCAAAATTGCAGTACTTTGAGGGAAAGAAAAGATATCCCACTATGAGTCTAAGGCAAGCATCCCTCTCTGATTACCACCTCCTGTCTTTCCTGCTGCCTTACTTTAGTATTGTGGTAGATGCCAGATTGCAGAATCTGCAAAATCTAAAATGATTAAACCCACCATTTCTGCTTACTGTGTGCCAACACCTAGGCAGCTGAAATTTCCTAGAGAAAAATACACAATGGGGCCACAGTTTTTCTTAAGAACAAAAGTACTTAGCAGGACCCCTGGTTGGGCACCATCATGATAAAACTTTTCCAATGTTGGAGCAACCCTTATATCTTTCTTTTCTCTTTTTTTAACAGCAATACCCTTTATTTCTTTTTTACTCTCAGCTTATAACTTTATTTCTTGAGAAAAAAGCAGTTAGACAAGAACTACTTTCTTTCCCACTGCCAAATCTGCCAACCTCATCATGTCTGTACCTACTTCTTTTGCAGTCCCCGCCCTCCCCCCCCCCCCC